AACATTTTCCCACCTAGTAGATAATGACACAAAATTTTACACACTTAAGCAATGTACTACAGACCTTAATTAATAATTCATAGCTATTGTTAAGCATTTGAAAATTTATTCTACAAGTATTTACTTTAATATAACTAAGAAATCCACTTCAATCAATCCTGATCAATTAATTTCTAGTATTAAATATATAGAGAGGGAACAACCTACATTTTCTATGTGCGTAACATCCTGTAGCTTCTCTTTATCCGTCGTAGAAGGCGGTAGTCCTTCAAAAATCGATTCAAAGCTCATTCTAGCCGATCGTTTCTTAGGTCTCGTGAATGTTCTAGTGTCAATGCATTTTCTGTTATTTATTTATTTATTTATTTATTTATTATTTGTTATCTGGATACATATTAAATTTAATAATAATGGCAAGCAATACTCGGATTATAAGATAGTAAATCAAGCTGAGAACAGTTGTTAGCGAACAATTTAGCGTGATATCATGCTTTGTACTTTGAACATCCAATTCCGGTTCTGTCTTCAACCAGGCATATAGATCCTGGATTGCAGGTTCGGCTCGGTGTTGTAAAGGCATGTGCAACCTAAAAAAGAATAAAAATTTAATCAACGTCGACTTATTAACTTTGAAGCAATAAAAGAATATTTAACATAACATTAGTACAGAATATAAAAATGTTTTATCTGTCCTTTATATCTCCAATTTATCTCAAACTTACAAGCTATGGAAAAAACTGGTCAATATACAGACAATTCTTAAATATAATTAAAATTGACTCAAGAGCAGCAAAATGCCAAGCCACATAAAGAAAAATAAAAGAAATCTAGCAAGTCGATGTACGATCATTTTCTTCCACAAACAATACAAGCTCTCCCGTAAATTTCAATTGTACTGTTACTTATTATACATATGTTCGTTATATTTGAATTCGTTTCCCTGTAGAGAGAAGTAAACATCGAGTGGGAACGAAAATGAAGGTAAACACGGTGTTCCCATGAAGGTCGATTAAAGGTCACCGACGGGCGTGCGACACCCACCAAACGTCGTCGTCGTCGTCGTCGTCGTCGTCGAGCTGCAGGTCCGACAGGTCGATGCGATCGACCTCGTCGACGAGGTAGCCATCGTGAGGGTGTTCCGCGCTCGTGACAGTCTCGCTCGGATCCGTGGTGCCCGCTGACATATTTCGCGGCCGAGTGTTATCGAGTCGCGCGTATACGTGCACACATATTTCACCGTTCCCGGGTGCTCGCCAGTGCTCGGCGCCCCGAAGACCGAAGACACGAAAATAGCTCAGCGGGGGGAGAGAGAGAGAAAGAGCGTGAGAGACGGCAGAAGGGAGGGAGCGGACTTAACTCGCGACAAGCAGAAACAGGAGCGACGTCGATGACTCTCGAATACTCTCGATGCGGATTGGGAGGGAAAAAAATATGATCACGGCCACCGAGGTCTAGGACCTCGTCGCGAAACATAACCACGTTGAACGCGGATGCTACGCGGATGCGCGAAAACTGCGTTAAGTCACGGCGCGCGCGGCGCGAGGATCGATCATGAACGTCGCGCACCGGACGGCGAATTCGAATTCGGAAGTCTCTAGGCTTCGATCGTTTTTATTGGAAAACGTGATTTTTCCGGGCCAATGGCGACGTCGCGACGTAACCGTACAGTTTCGCGTCTTTTGTCCAGAATTTTAGTTTAGATCGATCGAGCGATCGGCCGATCTCGATCTTTTATTTATTTAAAAATATGTCTTCTTGAAAATTACAAAAGTTTCGAAGATAAAATATATTTTTCTCGATATTTCTGATTTTTTTTTGTATTTTTCGATTGAGTCCGGTATTCCTCTTGTTTCAAACGTTTTGCTTAATGCTTTTTAATATTTTTAATTTTTAATTGCTTCAATTATTTTTCTCTTTTCCAATATTCTTAATGAAAGATTTAATTAATCTTTGTAATATTGTACTAACTTTTTTGTACTCTTTCCTTATATTCCTTTTTCTTCAACATCTGTTTTTAACGATCGAATAATTTTTAGAATTAGAAAAAGATAAAAAACCGAGATTAAAGTAAATCTGCACAAAAATTAATGAAAATTGTATCGTACGTCGTTTGAATTTCGAGTGCAGAAAGCGCAGCACTGCGCAGCCGCGAGAACTCGTCGAACACGTATCGACTATCGCGGCGATTCCCGCGCTTCGACCGGGTCGAGAGCCGGTCGAGAGATCGCGATTGGTCGCGATTCGCAACCGCCGTTCTCTCTCATCCCTCATTCGTGTCTGTTCGTGTCGCGCATTTACCCGCGGCCCAACCGTCAAGAGGCAGCGACCGGTTCGTCGTGCTCCTGTTGTTCGTTCCCTGGTCTCCCTGGTTTTCGTCAGGTTTGGTTTTCACCTCTCTCTCTCTCTCTCTCACTCTCTCACTCTCTTCTCGCGTGCTGATCCCGACTCCGTGTGATTCCATCAAGGTACGACCCGACAGAGAATAATCCGGAATCCGCGCCTGGCGCCGTGGGGCCCCACGGCGCGCGGCTCCAGGATACGACTCGCCGCACCACGTCGCCGTGACGTGATTCTCGCGCGCGCACTTTGATCCCCCCGCGTCCCCATCCTCTCTTTCACGTCTCTCGTCGCTTAGCATCCGGCGTTCCACACGGTTCCGTCATCTACGCGCCACGTGCCCCGTACCCTCCCGATATTCCTTCCTGCCGTCCGAGTTCCCCGCCGCGAGCGAAGCGGAGCGTCGCGAGGGCGCGAATCCCGGCGTCTTTAACCCTCGTCCTCTCAATGTCATTCCGCGCGCGCCGTCGCCCGTCTCGCTCCTCGCCGACCGCGATTCTCCGAAAAGAGAAATAACCTTCCCCTCGAAGACGTCAGGACCGACTCGCACGGTCGAGGGAATCGCGGAATTTTGAAGCGCAATTCCTAACTCGTAAGTAGGCACCATACGCGACTCGCGAACTCTCCCTCGACGTGCGTCTCGTGTCCCCGCGTGGCTAGCGCGCCGTTTTGCGTTACTATTGCACCGAAGCTCCGTAATTTCTCACGCAATCTCGTCTCTCCGGTGCATACAATTCTAACACGCTCTGCAAGCATCACGTTGCACCCTCCGTGTCTGAGAGATTTCACCGATCTTAAAGTTTATCACCCCCGAAACCAGGGGGGGGTCTGTTTTCTATTGCTGCAGGACTAGCGCCTAGGTCAGTTCAGCAATAGAAAACAGACCCCTGGTATCTACCTTGTAGTTGAGTTGTTAAAACAGTCTCTTTCACCGAGAGTTCTGTCCCTTAATTAA